GCCGCGACAGAAACAACGTGGGGGTCAAATCTGGTTGAGGACGCGGCGGCGGCGGCAGCGGAGGCCTTGCACCAGGTTTCGGGGCGGGAAGCCGGCAGGGGGCCTGGCTCAGTGGCAACAGCATCTGCAGCGGTGGCGGTGGTGGCGGCAACCCGTCAAGGAGTGGGTGCTGGATCTGGTGACGGAGGAGGAGAAGGAGGAGGACGAGCACCAAGCAGTCGGGGTTGGCTGCGGGTGTTTTTGGCAGCTGTTGCAGCATGATGGTCTCGGAGCTGGTGGTGGCTGGTACTGTCCTGGCCGCGATTAAGGCGGGTCCAGGGCTCGTGGGTGATGTGGGTCCGTCATGTTGGTCCGAAATGCGAAAGTATGAAAGTGAGCTCTTATAACACGGGCTCGTCTCGCATTAGTGTTGCAGCCGTGGAGGTTTTAAATTGAGGCCAAGTCGGTAAAGCTATCCATACACAATCATCAACACAAAGCCATCCCAACACAATCACCCCGATTGGTTCTCTTGAAGTAATAAAGCCCTTGAAAAGACCTAAGCCCTATTTGAGACGTCATACCCACAAAACCTAAAACCTCCGGCCTCTGTCAATAGCCACAGCCTGCATGCAACACCCTTGCAGCCTGCACCCCTTTCCTTACTATTGTCCCGCTTACAAGAGCATACAGGCTAAGTATGATGGTGACCTAGTCCTTACGGGGCGCAGCATGCACACCACTATGACTGAGGCGCCACCCCTGGCATTGGCCAGGTACCTCTCGGAAATTTGGGAGGCCAGGCACGTCGCGCTGAGGCGCTTCACCCTGAAGCGGACGAGGGAGAATGAAGATGACCTCCTGCATACCCGCAGCAATACCAATACAACGTCCATGGCCCCCCCGACTTTTACGGACACACCCGCACTTGTGTGCGGAACTTGTAACTTGTAACCTTACCCTCCCTTCCTCCCGCTCGCCGTCCAACAGCCCTCTGACATCTTCTGGGCAATCCCCCCTTGCTGTACACCTTTCTAACCCCACGCCATTACAACGTTTCCCTGGGACTGCAGGCCCCTGCCTACTCGGGGCGCCTGCACCTGGCCCTGTTTTACAAGTACGGTGCCTACTACAGCTTGGCGCACTGCCTGGCAGGAGTGCACTACAGCCTGTCCATGCGGCCACTGTAGGGGTGGGTCCTTCAGAGGTTGAGAGGCAACAAACCCAAATGAGGTTCAGGACTAGGCGGAAAACACACACACGGGTCAGCGTGTCGCATCACCTCTGACGTGTGTGTGTCTGTTACATAACCAGTTCATAGCATCCTTCATATGGGAGGGTCTTTCTGGGCTGCACCCTACGGCTCAGGAGCTGAGTTCTCTTTCCTCACACTACTAGTACATGTGCACAACATGCAAAGGCAGGATGTTAAACCAAGCAGCGGATACAGAGGGATCACCTCGATATACGTTACATAGGTCTGGGATTAGAGTGAAGATCAAAGGCAAGACCCTGCCATAAATACAAAGAAAGTCTCGGAAGTTCACTCCAGAACCAGTACTGGTATCCCGCCAAAAGGAGGGTATCACCCAGGGTTCGTCATCTGTCATCTGGGGGTGGGGTCCTGGCCGGCATCTGCCTTACGCGCTCATTTAAGTATGAGGAAGCAATATCTAAGTTCACATAGTATCTAGATATCGCGGGGACCCCCCCTTGTCTCATCTAGCTGAGCCCCGAGCCTCATCTTGACCGCCTGACAACCCCGGTCAGCCTCATCTAGCTGTCTCGACACCTCATCTAGCTGCCAGGAGAGGGGCCCCGCGCGCGCATCTGACTGAAAAGAAACATGTATTTAAATACCGTATGATGTCCTCCTATATTCATTTGGTTGTAAGTTGACTGGCATCCAGATACATTTTGTGAAAGCCCGCTGGACGCATGGACATGACGATCAACTGATGGCGACAGCTGATGGGAGCGCTTTTCAGGTTTACAAATGTTAATATTTTATGTTTGCCCACCGACAGGTACACCGGCCGTACCGTGGGCCACCTGCAGCAATCCGTCTGTAGTCCGCAGCACCATGCCGTCTCTAGTGGTCACGGAACCGCACCTCCCCACAAGACTCCCCATTTACAGGCACTTCAATAATAATAATAATAGTACGCCGGCCGAGGCCTGGCGTGTGTTAAGGGGGTGGGGAACTGAGGGGCGGTGTAGCCGCTCCTGTATGCCCGCACCACCGTGGGGAAACCGTTCGGGTTGTACCGGTTATTTGACTGTACCCTCTAGTACTCGCCACGCCCGGATAATCGTGCCCGCTGCTTCGATTGTTTGCCGGTGGAGGTGCAGGCAGGTCTTCTGGGCCTGCTCAGCGGACGAGCCGAGTCTGCACAGTAGCGGTTTTAGTGTGTTGGTTAGCGTCCCAGTACTTCCCAGGTTGACAATTTGTGCCTCGGTGTAGTGCACCGTCCAGCCTGCTTTCGTGAGTTCCTCTGTTAGCCGTGCATGCTGTGCGGTTTTCTGTTCGAGTTTGTCGGAGTGCTGCAGGTCACTGGTGTAGCCTACTTCAACAATGTATACATCGTGCTTGGATTTGCACTCCGGCCCCTGGTACCGTTTGCGCTTGGTTCTGTGCGCGGGGAGGTCAGGGATGAACATGATGTCTGGGCGGAGGCGACGGGTTTCCTCGTCCGCTAAGTGTGGCAGCATCCATTTGGGGACGCGCGTCCCACTGCAGTACGGCGGGAGATCCTCTTCTTTACCGGCATCCATAATCATGAAGCCACCACCGTGGTGGCCCCCGTTAATGCAGTCGGCAATAGTGCGCGTCGCTTGGTTATGCCGGTTGATGTACATGCCCTTCATGGTTGGGTGGGGGCACCCGCCGAGTATGTGGGCTCCTGAGTCGGGTGTGGGGCCGTTCGGGCCGCAGCTGCGGCAGATAGGGCAGTTGCCGTCTCCGCCTCGTCCGTAAAGTTTCTTTAGCTTAGCATTAAATAGCAGCCCGTATCGAGCTTTCAGTACTTGCAGTTTGAGCCAGTGTGGCATCTTTGCATTACTAAGGAAGGAATTGCTAGATTTGGGGTCTAACTTCGAGGCGGTGTTACGCCATTTTTCAGTTAGTATTGTGTCGTTGGTATAGCCTGCGAAGGTACCTTGCTGGAGACGCTTATAAAGGCCTTTGTTCAGGTCACTAACGCAAAGACCAGTGTCGCGTTGTTTCAGCCAGAACACTTTATCGAACGGGGAATTGTCGGCCTTTTCAGTAAATGTTGCTGGGTTCTCACCTCGTGCGACAGATGTTGCTCCTTTGTCAGCTTTGTCATTACCATCAAGGCCTGTGTGTGATTAAGCAGCCTCTCGCACAAATGTGTCCGGT